ATATGTATTTAAAATGTAATTAAAATTTGTTTTGCATACCTACCTAATTAAATTTTATTTTATCATAATTAAGGGCGGCAATTTTCCGCAGGCCTACAAGCAGTAAATATATAAATACGCCTCTGTCTGCAGCTATATTTATTTGATCACACTAAAATGTAAGCAAATATAAACCTAATTAATATGCTATTATTAATGTCGTATATTATGTGTGTAATAAATAACTAAATATTTTCACATTAGGTAGGTAAATGTGTAAATTAAAATTATAAAAATAAATACTTACTGGATTTTCATTATTTGCCTCATTACCACTAGGTTTTGTTTTCTTAAATACGTCTAATATGTTTTGACATGATTGGGCTGCAATTTGTAATTTAATTTTTTTTCGCGTTCTTTGGCAGCTCCACCTTTTGGCTTTTTAGAATTCATTATTTAAAATTTTTACAAACAAAAATAAAAAGCTTAAATATATCCAATACAAGGAATGACTCGCTATTATAACATGTCTAAATACAAACTAGTAGACCATAGACAAGACACAAGAATACTATTATAGACAGTTTGTAATGTGTAGCGTTTGTACTCGAGCAGCAGTCGTCACTTCATCACTCGTCGTCAGTCAGCAATCGGAAATTCTGTACTCACGTAAAAATAATTATTAATTGTTATTTTTGGATGTATATGGTATATCCGTATATCATATCGACATACGCAACGAATAAGGCGGTAACTCAAAAAAATCGAAAATTGAGTTACTGCTATTGGCGTTATAGACATTTTTTCGCTCTATCTCCTACGAAAACGGCAGTAACTGTATCATGATTGTGAACAGAGTAAAACGGGATCTAAAAATAGTTGGAAATAGTGAAATCCCAAGAAAAAAGAAGGAACTTGAGTTACGTCATCATAAAATACATTTTACCATCGAAGATTGACGTAAATTGAGTTACTTCTTTTTTCTTCGGATTGTTTTTTTCTTTCAAGGAAGTAAGTAGTACCTAACCACGTGCAAAAAAATTATATAATAATAATAATATTATTATAATTATTATTTTATAACATACTTAATATCATAACATTGTTATCACTGTTTATCTTTTTAAATGCAATAATAGTTAATACGGTAAATTTAATAATATTATTTAATGGTTGGTACTACCTACAGTACTATAATATTTTATATTTTTATTATTTATTAATAGGTTAATCAAAGAAAACTAAAATTAATTTCCAATTTCGTCTTGATGTTAATAGCAACAATGATAATAATATGAATCATTATCATAATATTATAATATTATTATCATAAATTATGACTATAATAATTATTAATTGCCTAGTAGGTTCGATTCATAGTTTTGTTATTGTACATTTAAGAAATTGTTTGATTTCTTTTTAATTTTATGTTCAGAGGGAAACAGTTAACAATAAATATTACAATATGGAAGTAAGTATTATTTAATATTTTATAATATCTTTAAATTTTTGAAGCATAGTGTTATAATTTATATTAGTTTATATTATTATTATAATTATAACTTAAATCCATCAGATTTCAGAAAGTCATCAGCTATACAACCATGACATTGATGCAATGTCTTTAACCAGCAGTATTTGTAGTTTTTATTCTTATGGACAAATTAGTAGTGATGAAGATTTTGAGTTTGAAGACAATGATTTTGATGACAGTGACAAAGATCCTGATTATTTACCAGAAAGTAATACTGTTGGAGATCAGAGTACAAATTTGGCTGAGGTAATAAATTATAATTAAAAATATTGATCACCTATACTTTAATGTTATTTAAAGCATTATTATAGAAGCATAAATTAGTAAATAATATTATTAAAGTTCCATATTCTTATTAATTACTACTACATTTTGTATTTTAAATGATGAAAAAGGTTTTTTTTTTTTTTTTTTTTTTTCAAAATAAGAAGGGATCTATTGGTATTGTTAATGATCATACAATATAATAATATTTTTAATTATCATTCATTTTTCTATTATTATCATTAATTATTTTTAATTATCATTCATTTTACTATTATAATATTATTATTATTTTATATTATTTTCAAGGTTGACAAAGGTATTTTGTATTTTGTTTTATATTAATTAAGAAGAAGTTACCTACTAAAAAAGTTACTAAAAGTTACTAAAAAGATATTTTGTATTTTGTTTTATATTAATAAAGAAGAAGTTACTGCTTTATATTGGTCATATTGTATCCRCGAAAATGGTGGTAACTTGAGTTAACTCCTTTTGTGAAAGGAAGTAACTCAAAGAAAACCCAGGGAAATCCAAACTTTAATGAAATTGATATCAGGCCATATTTAGTGATAAACAAATGAAATGTTGTGTAAGTTTCAATAAAATCCAAATAATATAAGAATAAGAATTGTAATTCAAACTTTAATTTGCTTCTACTGAAAAGTAGCGAAAATTGAGTTACTGCCTTATTCGTTGCGTATGTCGATATGCTCACCCACACTAATATGATTTTACACATCTGCACAAATGTACAATGAACACTATACTCTGTTTAAATAATAACACAACAAAAAAACAGCGGAAAAGTAGATCACCCTAAATTATTTGTTGTACCTACTAATTGAAATTGAACATATAATTATATCACTCGTATAGTACACATGAAAATCTTACAATTTTATAAAATAGTATAGATAGTTCAGTTATGTTGTACAAATAATTTAGGGATGGCAAAAAATCAATGACTATCGATATATCGAAATTTCGATATATTGCATACCCAATATCGATTCCACGATTTATCTACCACTATTTTATCGATACATCGATATATTATATMGAAACACTTTTTCTAATACTACAAATTTTTTTAAGTAAAAGGTTTATATACTTGCACATAGGTGATAGATTATAATTTATTTTAATAAAACCTTATACCGTAGGCCGAGGCCGTAACTTGTAATCCATACTTACTATAGGATTTATGACCAATAAATTTATCAATCAAAGAATGTACATATATCTATTACAAGATATTTTATATTTCTAAAAACATAACAATTTTAATAAATTATATTAGCAATTTGTACAGGCTTTTTTACCTTTATAGCCCGCCCTGGGCATACATTATTACATATATACTACTATTTCATGGCTTTATCGCCTAATCAGCATTCTAATAATAGTTTTATAGTAGAATTCCCGTTGAACCGTACGGCCGTACATATATAATACACCTATATCTACTTTCAATGGAATCAAGTAGGATGTATAAACAGTAAACATAACTCTAAAACCAATGACCGCAATTACTTGAAATTTTCACTGAATATTTATATAGGCATTTTTTATATTTGGAAATTTTTTGTTTTGAGCTCATTACTGACATTTTAATTTTTAAACTTTTTTAGTTTTTTTTTCTTCTATAAATATCGATAAAAATGTATTTGTTGGGTAGAAAAGCTTGATAATTTAATACAAGGCTTCTAACACATTGTTACAATAGCAGTTGAAAAATCTTCAAAATACATAGGCACGATTTTTTTTTTTATTAGCATTCAAAGTTTGAATTTTGACAAAATACGTAAAAATTACAAAAATTCGCAAATTATTTTAAGCTAGAAATTCATAAAAAAATGTTTTTTAAAATCTAAGATTTGAAAATTTAATACATGGCTCTTAACATATTTTTAMWATAGCAGTTGAAAAATAAAAGTAATACATAGTCGCAATTTATTCTTGCAAGCATTCAAATTTTAATTTTTACGACATACGTAAAAATCACGAAAATTCGTAAATTATTTTAAGCTAGAAATTCATAAAAAAATTTCTTTTAAATCTAAGATTTGAAATAATCTATAATATATTCTAGACAGATAAACTTTCTCCGCTCAGAATCGTTTTCCGTACACAATGATATAATATCATCGGATTCAAATTTAATTCCATCCATTACAGTAACCCACTTATAACCTACTGTACTTACAGCAGAGCGACATCCATGACTTACCCGTTTTTTAGATATAATTATTGGGTATACATAAAATTATTAAATCAAATGAAAACATCTAAATGTATAGTGTATACGTAATACGGGAAAACATGCGTTTTTATGAAAAATATGCAAAATGTACAATTTGTACCCAAAATATGAAAAAACATGCAAAATAAAAAATTCAATATTATTTATTTTATTTAAATAACGAAATGAAATGAAAATCAATATACTGYATGTAACTGCTTATAAAAATATGAACATGCATTATTGTATTATATGTAAAATCTAGTTTTTAGTTCTAAGTAAATAATAATATAATCCCACTTATGTACTTATCCTCTTATCGAAATTGAACGAGTACACCGAACACTCGTGCATGCAACGCATATGTACGACGCATATGATAAAAAACCACTTGAACTATAGAGTGCATTGTGTATATTATTTTTTCATCCCATTAATACCTAGTCAGCTCGAAAGACATATTATACAGTTACATCTATTATTTCTTGCTTTATTATAATATAATATATAATTATATTAAATTATTATATTAACAATTAGTAGTGACAGCAGACAAACGAATATAGAGACGTGCAGCAATATAATTTCAACGAAAATGGACAAATGGGTAGGAAAAGTTGCCGTGGTCACGGGTGCGTCTTCTGGGATCGGAGCCGCCACATGTAGGCAGCTGGTTGATAGTGGAATGATTGTCGTCGGATTTGCTAGAAGGGAAGAAAAACTCAAGGTGGGTGCCATTCTTTAACAAATATTAAAGGTTTATTATATGTACGTATAGAATAAATCGTACGTAAGATAAAATCTATTAAAACCTATTTAATATGTTAAAAATAATAAAACACAATTARATTTTTTATTTATTTATTYTTTGGTTTATTAAATATTTTTATTTTTCAAAAAGTATTCTCGCCGATTTTATATTTTGTAACAAATATCAAATCATCACACTTATCGAACGCTGAGTAGGGAACTCTATACCTTTACAATTAAGTTACAGACTGAATCGCATTCGTCAATAATTTTAAATTATTATTGTAAGTGATTATTAATTGGGTTTTAAATACTGCAGGAGTTACGAAAAGAGCTGATCGGAAAATCGGGCGAATTTCATTACCACATAGTTGATTTGTGTTTGGAACAACACATCAAAGAAGCTTTTGAATGGGTAAAGAGAACGTTGAAATCAATCGACGTATTAATAAACAACGCTGGTGTTTGGAAAAATAGTGACGTTTTAGGTAAGTATCCAGTAAAAGGTAGTAAAATAAATTAATTTAACAGCAATAATATGTATAATAAAATATACTTAGACTGGCAGACCCATATTCGATTCAATTCCTCTTTTGTATACAATGATATAATATCATAGAATTTAAATTTAACACATGCATGATTTCTGTGACCCATACGACACGAGGAGTACGCTACTAACTTGCCCCCTTTTTTTTTAAATTGTATGTTGTATTAATTTTTTCTAGTAAAAAAAAACAAGAAATTTTAACGCAAATACAGTTTTCCAGAAAATCAATTTTTTCTTGAAAAAAATTCCAAAATTAATTACTTACTACAGACTGTAGAGCAAGAGTCGCTTATTAGTGTGGTACTTAAACGTTAATTGGGGGGGAGGGATTAACCTAATCTATCCTTTTCATATTGGATGATCTGACACCTGAACATAATAAAATTTTAATATACTAATTTTTATTTTTGTTATTATTCTTAATTGATATGTCACCCTAAATTTTAGTTACTTAACCTATCGGCAAGTAATTTCTATTGAAATCCGGAAGATTAAAACAATTAATAAATGAGATTCAAAAAACAAATTTTTGTAAACTTTTATATTTTTATAAATGTAATATGAAGACAAAAACATTTTATGATATATTGACGATCCAGTTTTCTGTCATCCACGGTCCAGATTCGAAAAAAATGATTTGATTWAAACTTAAGTAGATTTTCCGCGTGGAAAGTTCCGGGTGATCAAAATTTAAAGTTCCCAATAGTTTTCAAAATCAGAAAAACAATAAAAAGCGGATAAATGGATATCGTTTTGATTTACTATTGTACAAGTGGGTTACTGTAATGAGTGGTATTAAAATTGAATATAATGTTCACTCTAGAAATTCCAAGTACCCATGAAAAATATTTTTAAATTTCAGATATATACTTCCTAATCATGACGAAGCTATAGATATCCCGACTGAATTTCTTAACTCATTAAATCCATCAGGTCTCCCCTACATAAACTTGATTTAAAAATTGGTGCGACTATTATTCTCATGCGAAATTTAAATTCTCCCAAATTGTGCAATGGAACGAGATCAAAAATATTATCTTTGAAAAAAAACCTTATTGAAGCTGAAATTCTTACCGGCTCAGTGAATGRTCAAATTGTATATATCCCAATATACCAATGATAACAAAATAGTATCCATTCGAATTTAAACATGTCCAATTCCCAATTAAACTTTGTTTTTCTATTTCAATTAATAAGGCACAAGAAAATACCATGCAAGTTGCAGGAATTGACATCAGAGTTCCCTGTTTTACTCATGGACAATTTTATGTTGCCTGCTCCCGTATAAGCTYAGAAAAAGCTTATACATTATGCCCCTGGTGAAAAAACTAATAATATTGTTTATAAAGAAATATGTTTAATCGATAGTTATGCAGCATTTCTTCAAAATAATAATAATTACTTTTAAAAAAACGTATTTTTTTTTAAAAGTTTAGTAGGTATAAAATACGAGGTATGAGTTTTATTAGTTGTCAGCCTATTTCAATTTAGATATTATGTTGTATTCACCGCTTTATTTCGTCGTATTTTTTATTTTAATATAATTTTTATATACATCAGACAGAATGAGTTGTCATCTGCACATGCATATTAGCATTATCAAAATGAAAAATTARGCAAAAGAAAGCGGCTATCGCTTACAGTATAAATCACTATTTTTTCCCAAGACAAAGCCGGGTAATTCATCTATCTATTTATWTATACAAACATTTATGTGAGCATAATCAAGGATTTTGTATTAATCGATTATATTAATCCACCGTGAGTGAAATAAAGTAAAAATGACAAACTTAGTATAACTTTAATACTTTAGAGTTAAATCATACACTTACGTACAAACAGCACGAGGTCTGTGATCTACCGCAGGTAGATTGCCTACCTGTTTATATTATTATACTTCTGGGAATCAGAATTTTTATTCCAGGAAACGGAAATGTTAAGATAAGGTTTGTACATCATACATTCATACACCGATTATTAAATAACGAATTGAACAAAGTTTGAGTCATATAGATTTAATACATTTAACGGGCAACGAAGTGCATGGGACCAGCTAGTACAATTTAAATTTATGTTATCATTTAAAAAATAACGAAAATAAAAGAATTTGTTTTTTATTGATTTTTTTGCATTTTTTTTTTCATTTTATAGGGCAGGGGTAGAGAACCTTTCTTGGGTATAGTGCCAAATTTTTGCAATCAAGGGTTTGGTCATTTTTCACGAGCCCTAAGTTTGTAAGCACTAAATAGAAAATATTAAATATAGTGATAATATAGTAACATAATCAATTTTACATATAGGAATATTATAAYTTTTAAAATGTTTATAATTTATTTATTTGAATTTTTTACAACAAAATATAAAGAATAGCATAATTTTTCTCAATTTTAATTTTTTGCGTGCCATTGAAATTCAACAAACGTGTCACTTTTGGTACGCGTGCCGTAGTTTTCTCACCCCTGTTATAGGGTATATTACTACAAAAGAAGAGCATAAATGTGTATTTTATAGTACATATTTCTTAGATATACTATAAATCTGTGCCCTAGTTATTACTATAATTTATTCATGTTATTAAGTTTATTCTTATCAGGAAACCCACAAGACTGGAAACTGATGTTTGACACCAATGTGTTAGGACCAAGTATTTGCAGTAAAGAAGCCGTGAAAATCATGAAGGAGTTGAAAATCAACGGTCATATAGTAAATATAAATAGGTAAAAACTCCTACTCTTTTAGATATCTACTGGGGAAAATATTCGAGGAAGGTATTTTTATTTCTACATATAATGTTTTCGGCTTATCAGTAATACAAGTTAAAATAATAATTACAAAATAGAATAGTGAATAGTGAGTAAATGAGTAAATTAAACATGTAACATCGAAACAACACTAATAATAATTAAATTAAATAAATCATAAAAGTAGTGATAATAATAACAATATTAACAGCGGTAATCATGATAAATGGTGTTACGGTAAGGAAATATCACAGAGATATAGTGAGTTCGTCGCATGATTTAGAAGTTACATGGCTGCCCTCATGCAATTTAACCCTCATTTACACTTCATGTTAGGTTATCACGTTTTCTCTGGACTGAGTGATAGATTATATGTAGCCCTATCGCATAATGGAGAGTCGGCAAAAACCCCATGTATGAGTCAAGAGAGCAAAATTCCCAATTGTTATTAATATTATCAGGATAAGAAAGAAAACACGAGAATATTTACGCAAAACCAGATTTTGACTAAATTGATTTTACTTTTGTAGTAACTCAAAAATTAATAACCTTAGATACCAACTATTTAAAATTTCACCGAAGTTTTAGAAAATTACTTTTAATGCACAATAAAATTTTCAAAATATGTTGGCTGTTTTTGAGATATTATTGTGGAATTTTCGAATTTTTTCGTTTTTTTTTTTCAATAAATATTCATTTTGCACGGTTAAAAAACTTTAACATTTAATTCATGGTTCTTCCTCAGTTGCTATTAAAAAAAATTTTTAATCCAMAATATTTTTTTATGAGCGTCTGAAGTTTGAATTCTAACAAAATCCGTCAGTCATAAACATTTGTGAATTCTACTTTAGATAGTTAAAAATTAAATAAATAGTTTCCAACGGCGGAAATTTTGTAGAAGTGGCAATTTCTAAATGATGAATATGAAAAAATTATTAATCATTGAAAATGTTTATAAGAAATAATAATTTTAATTTAATATGTATCAGCTACCGCAAAATTATCCCGTGAGTGATGAGCATTCAGCGTTTACTTAGTAAAAATTAAAATCATATCATTATTATTATTATTATATATATTTTTATTAAAGCATATTTTTATTATAGCATATTTTTATTATAGCATATTTTTATTATAGCGCTCAAACCTACTCATTTCTACTTTCGTTCGTATTATCGTATTGTTTTCGAGTACAAATTGTATACAATAATGCGTTTACAGTAGAAACACACACAACGACACAATTGTGTTTGTTTTATACCTGTATGGTTGTATAATAATTTATTTATAGCCATCAGATTATTACATTTTTTATTAATAGTTTCACGTGATTTATTTGTACATTACTAACTACCAAACAATTGTTTTTAGTATATTATTATGTTCGTCTTTCGAGTCTCATAGTCTCGTCAACTGTCAAGCCATATTGACTGAAAAACAAACAGGTTTAATATTTCTTAATAGCAGTTTTTCTTCAATCAAAGGCGGGAAAGTAGAATTGCTGCAGTCAAAGCAATATTATTTCAATTTGACGATATCATTGATTGTATAAATATACTTAAAATGCAAATAGTRGACGCAGAAACTCTATGTGATTGTGAAGCCATTTTAAAAGAAATGTTAACATTTGAATTTATTGTTGCAATACATGTGTGGTATGAAATTTTACTTCGTGTAAATAA